TTCTAGGCCTAGGTATTCGGTGCTAATAGGAGGGGTAAAATGCCCCTTTTTTGAAGCTAATTTAAGATATCCTTTATAAATAGCTCTCCGTTAGACCGTATCTTCTTTACCTCGTAACTAAAGTAGGATTTTATCTAGTTAATAAAGTCTTAGAGGGCAGACTAGTTATACTTACTTAGGTAGGTCCGTAAGAAATAGGGGAAAACTATCCCTAAAAAGGCGTCTATAAAAAACATTACCCTAACGAAGCTTTCTTAGTCCTTAGAGACGTCGGTCTAATCGACCTAAATTTCCTTATACGGCTAGTCCGGCCGTATTAGGGTCCGTCTAGAAATTCGTCTCTTAGTCTTTCCTTAGCCGTAGTATTCGCATTCGACGGTCTTTAAGCCCCTTATTCGTACGCCTTATTATTAACCTAGTTTATATAAAGCTAGGGGGCCTAGGTAACTAAGTTATACGTACTAAAGAAGACCGTCTCCTTAAGCTGCCGGAAGAGGGTCTTTTATAGTAGACCTATTCCTCCTAGTAGGGAAAGCTAACTTCTTAAGAGATTCCTTCCTAAGGATAGGTCGGAATTCGAGAATAAATTAACCGAATTTTTCCTCGATAAGCCTAATAGTCTAATTCTTCTTAACTAGCCTTATAGGCTTAGACGTTATATCCTAGAAGATTCCTTCCTCTTAAAGAAGGCGGAAGGAAATTAAGCTCGTTAAAAATCAAGGGTAAAAAGCTACCCTTTTTCGTCGAAGAATTTATATAGATCCGTTAGGTAATTTTATCGTGAAATTCACCCTTCCGTATCCCTCTATCTATACGGTTAATTCTCCGGCAATAAGGTATTCCCTCTATGCCTTCTTAAAAGACCGGAATTATAAGAGTATATTATAAATATCGAGGGAAGTACTAGAGTTAAGGATAGCTGATTTTCGTAGGGGATAATCGGAGCGCTTTAACGGTTAGTCTTAGCCTTATTAATCCGTAAGGAAGACGAAGGCCGGATTTACTATACTAACGATTTTCCCTCGAATTTATAGCTCGAATAAAGGCAGCGGCGTTATTAGTTACTATTTCTTAGTAACCCGAATCTCGTCTATCTTCTTCTATAACGAGGGGCCCTCCTTAATAGACTATTATACTATTTCTCGTAGTCTCTTTAAAGGGTTAACTCCTTTAAGTCGGTTTTCCTCGAAGACCTACTAGCAGTCTTCTAGCCGATAAGGCTTTTTATATGCTTAGTAGGTAGGTCGATTCCTCCTTATACGTTATTTCTTTAAGGAATCCTCGTCTTAATCCGGAAGGTCTGCTTAAAAACCCCTCCTTTTTACCCCTTATTGCTAATTTTAACGAAGAGGTTCGATTTCGACTAGTTCCTTAATTTTTCGACTAATAGACTAAAAGGTCTATTAGGGGACTAGTCGGGCCGGTCTAACTAACGGGACCGGGGCCGGGCCCGGAGTAAGATATAGAGCCGGGAACGGGCCTAGGGCCGCAGCTATAGTTAACGACGGCGTTAAGGCTCTCGAGGGAGGAGGAGCCAAAGGAGCAATAGCTATAGTAGCAGTAGCGGGGGCCGCAGTAATTGGGGCTATAGTAGCTATAGGGGCAGTATATCGAGCCGTCTAGGTCGAGTGCTAGCTACGAAGGAATAAGACTGCTTATTATTATACTCGAGTAGCTTCTTTATCTAGTTCCTAGCTAGCCTCTCGAAAGATAGTTAAGTAACCGTTACTAATAGGCTTTATTAGCAGAGATATATCCTATAGCTACTAGCCGGATAGAGCTTCTATAAGGAAGTATTAGTTAGCTTCCTCGAGGATTTCTTCCTACTTAGCTAGCTACGAAGAAGCTAGTAGGTTCCTAGTAGAAAAGGCTCCTAGGTAGGCCGTATAGGTCTTCCTAATACGGTTAGTTATATAGCCCCTCGAGGGAGCTATCGAGGTCTCGAGCTTTAAAAGCTACTACCTAGGAGTCTCTTCCTTTTAAAGAGTAATTAGCTTTATAGCACTAACGGATTCCGTTATTACCGTGTATATAGTAGTTAGTAGCTTTGTCTTATAAAAGTATTCCTTACGGTAACTCTTATAGTTACCTAAGGTAGTAGAAAAAGCTCTCTATTATATAGAGGTTAGTTCGGAGAAGTAAGAAGCTCCCTCTATAAAGTCCGTTGCCCTAGGATAAAGAGGGGGCTCGAGAGGGTCCTATATATTAAAGAAGACTAAATTATAGATAGTTCTATCTATATAAGCCCGTAGCTCCTTTACCTACTTATCCTAATCTTAGGGTTCTATAAGAATCGTCCTATAGACCGTAGGGACGGTAGAGTCGGTTTTCGATATTATTATAGGGGAAGGGTAGAAATGTTAGTTAAAAATCAGCTTTTCTAGTAAGAGGGGTAAAGGGAAGCTATAAGTAATATAAGAAAGGTGCCTTTTATAGTAGCCGGAAGGTATAGGAATTTTATTCCTCCTAGGCTTATAACTCTCGTAAAGAGAGATACGAGAAGTATATAAAAATATATAAAGGTAAAATTAAAAGTAAGGGGTCGGATAGGTAGGGCAGAGAGATTTAAATCTTATAGGGGTAGTAATAAAGGTAGGGGAGTAATTATTATATTACCTTAATTATCCTTCTTTCCTCTATCTAACGCGCCTCTTTATACCTATCTAGCATCTTAATTAATAAAGAAGATCCTACTTAAAGAAGCTACTAATGTCCTTTCGACTACTAAGCTTTTTACCGGTTTTTTTTCCTTCTTTTCTAGCCGTTGCTAGTATATCCGTCTTATCTTTCGCTACCTCTATAGGAAGCTATCGCTACTTCTGCTCCCCCTTATGCCCCTACCCTCCTTTCTATACCTCTTTTTAGCTCCTTCTTCCTTCTTCTATACCGGGTGTTTTTAGCTTCCTTAGTCCCTCTTACTAAGGGATATCTCCGAGAACTACGAAATCAGGCCACGCTTCGCGATATATTTAGCCTAGGTATCTCCTTTCCTAGAGATTTAATTAGCGCTTACCCTTTTTATAGGTGGTTATAACTTCTTCTTATAAGTATATTCTTATTTAAAGTTAGCAATTTAGTTCCTTAGGGGAAGTTAATCTTTATTATATCTTTTATTATAAAGGTCGAGAGCCCTTATCGTTATAGACTAATATAAGCCTTACTTATCTACCGCTATAAGAAAATCCTATCTAATTCTTATATTATTAAGTATATCGACCTTAAGGTCTTATAAATCTATAATAATTTAGTCGAGCTATTCTACCTAAGCTTTCTAGTCTTATATACCTCTTTTATTAATAGAGGTTATATATCTCTTATAAATTAGCTTTTTCTCCTCTACCCCTAAGAGTAGGGCTTACTTCTTTAATTCCTTAATTTTCTCTCTTAGGCTATTATATATTAAGATTGCCCCTTAAAGCCCTTTATTAATCGTTTTCTTAATTAATTCTTTAAGTGCGATTAGGGCTTTCTACTAGACTTTATAGCGATCGAAATATAGCTAGAACCTTTTCTTAAAGTTATAAAAGGAGTCCTTTATATCTTAGTATCGTTCGTTATAGCCTATTTACCTTATAAAGAACGTAGCCTTAGTTTTATCTTTTTATTAAGAAGGTCTCCTTTTAATATTAATAATAAATTACTCTTAGTCTAGCTATTAAGGCTATTTAAGCTCCTTTATACCGTCTAGGTTAGTATATTCCTAAATCTTATAAGTCTAGGCCTACGATTTAATCCCCTTAATCTATAAGGTCTAATTAAAGCTTTCTTTTAGTCTTATAATATAATTATCCCCTCTTATTTCCTTTAAAGATATCTTAGGAAAAATAAGGATTCTAGCTTAATAAGTAATATTATTCTTTAAGGGATATATAATCTATATATTTCTAATAGTGCCCCTTAGTATAGCTAGGTTCTATACCTTAATATTACGATTTAAGCATTATAATAGCGTTAATAGCTTATAAATAGCTTTAAAGGTAATATTAGTAGGTAAAAGATAATCTAGCTATATAAACCGGGCTTATAACTCTTAAGTAGGGGCTTAAGACTATAGTAAAAGAAATAAGGGTATAGAAAGGTAAATTTAGTAATATATATCTTAGTCTATCTATTAGGATAAGGGAGGGGCTTATATAAGTATAGTAACTATATATAGCTAGCTAGAAGAGGGCATTAAGATATTCCTATACCTAAGTTAGGCCTATATAATATCCTTAGGCTAGGGGAGTTATATTAGTTAGGTAGGCTTCCTTACACATGACTATTAGGTCCACTAGGCATGACTATGGCCTCTTATGCCTACTCTCCTTAATAGGGATACTATTCTTTATAATCGGAGGTTTCCTCCCATTCCAATGCACCCGAGTTTCCATCGAAAAGGGTGATTGACCTCAGCCGCCGTGTTACATTCACCGCCGAAACGCGGACCTCTGGCTCATAGGCAACCATGTCGAGGAGTAAGCGGACGTACTCCTTCCGCTGACGAGTAGAGAGGTACGCTGCCTTCTGTGCAAGCCGGCTTTCAATCGTCTTCTGAGAACGTTTATCCTCAAACCAGCACTCCAATTCTGTCGTGTTTAGTCCTCGTCCCGGCTCGTAATAGCCGTATTCATTGAAATTGAATCTCCCCTTCCAGTGTTGGGGTATTGGACCGAGATAGCTCACGATAGTACTGACAAGAATCTCGAAGATCCGAAAGCCTGTAGGGAATAGGAACTCTCCGCTAATAATCTGGTAGAGAATGCATGCGAGTTGCCAGATGTCACTTTTCGTTGAGGGTAAATGCCCGAAGCAAAGTTCTGGAGGAAAGAAATCAATAGGAACTCCTAAAGATGATGGCGGGCGATCTTCGAAGAAGGCTTGCCCGAAGTCGATAATCCGAATCCGTGTGAGTATTGAATAGTCTAGACCTGAGAGGTCGGGAGTCTGGATGACCTGCTTTGGGGCATGGGGCGAGGACGACCCATTGCAAAGCCTAAGAATCTCAGCCTGAATAGGACCTAAAAGTTGACGAATCTGGGCTGAGGACATGGATTGAATGTCTGGCAGCTCGAATGCAACGTTGGATGCAGTAAGGTCTGTGATGAATTAGTTAGGGCCAGTGGTCGGGACGAAAGGCAAAGCTTACCGCCGTGACAGACACCGTAATGATGAAGAAACGACACAGCACTGGCCACCTGTTGGCACACCTGGTGTCGAATAGAATAGGATAAGGCTGCATCAACCTTGGTGTTTTGAAGACTTGGCCCGAGAACGGGTAATATGAAGCACTGATGTTCGCCGTTTGGGCCGGAAATTTGAAACGAGCTGTAGTAGGCCAGCACGTTCGGATGTCCAGGGCCGGCGACCTTTCGGAGGTGTTGAAGGATATTTAACTCGCAACTCTCGACGGCGTCGGCACAAAGAATTTTCAACGCGAAGTGTGATGATGCATGCGCGCAATCTCGAACCAACCAGACCGTCGAGGAGCCGCCGTGGCCGAGCTTGTGGATAATTTGGTAGGATTGCTCGCCTGTATGGATCACGTCTCCAATATCGACCGGGTGGTAGCCGCCAGGAACATACTTCTCAACGTCCTCGACGCATGCCATTTGCGGCTGGCGATACCGAAAGGGTGGCAATGGCTCTGGGGACAGGGACATGTTGATAGGAGTGATTGATGCTGGAGAGGAAAGAAGTCAGAAATGGGGAGTTTCTCGCTGGGTTTGGTGCGGGGAACTAAACTTATGACGTAACCGCAAAAAGTGGATACTATTGATAGCCTGTCTGCCCACGTAACTTGCTCAGCAAATGCAAGTGTTAAACCCGTTGTACGGGTTAGAGCTTGTTTGCCGTACTTTGCCTACAGTGAGTGCAGTCGGTGTAGATGTGGGCGATGGCGGCCGTGATGGCCCGAAAGTGTGGCACGGCTTCTCGGCGGAGGGGATGGACCCGAGAGCAAGGAGGTAGCCCTGAGCCGGCACATCGTAGTATCGCGTGTGCTATGAGTCTTCCGATGCATAGGGAGATGTAGTTCTTCGCTAAGACGTGATTGACCTGGCTGCTGTTTGGGGTGGGCGGTCCAAGATTGGCCGGAGAGGTCGTCAATGAGCGCTGGAGGCCACCTGCTTACCTATTGTAACGGGCTAGGCCTGTGCAGGCCTCGGCACCCAGTCGGCCTTTTGAAGGCACTGGGCTTTTATACAATTTTTCTTTCCCCATTCTAGGATAACTCGTTGCACTCGCTCAGCTATTTGCCATTACAACTAGTTGAGACGTGAGAGCGCGGAATAGAGGACAGACAGAGAAGAGGAGCGAAGGGTGCTTTACTTGGTGAAACACGCGCATGCAGAACAGCATCTACAACCCTTCTTCCAATAACGCTCTGCATCATTGTTTCCCCCTAGTAACTTGGTATTTGTCAGACAGAGCAAATACCACTTGACCACCAGCAAGATAAATTAGGGGCACCCCCGATGGAGGTATTCATGAATCATTGGTATAGTTTATAAGTCTCGTCCTGCTGCCAGTATCCCACTCTTACGCACGGGTGCTCCAGAACCTTTGTCTCGCCCAGGCATCAACGCGTATACCCAGTCCACTGGCCGTTTGCACAATATCTTTGCGCCTTTCCAGATTCCCTCATCCATGGGTCGGGGTACCATCCATCAGCAGTTTCAACGGTGGAAGAGCTGCCGCCTTGGCCAGTACCGCCGCTTGCGGCACCGCCGGTCTTGCTGCCCGAGCTTTGAGTGTCACGACTTCCTTGCGACGACCCTCTCTGATCGTCCCACCTTACCCGAGATAGTTCAACTTTCTCATACCAACGCTCGGTGCCCCGCAGCAGATCGATGCCATCAACATATGCGTGGCCCGTTTTCGACTCGGTCATAACGTCGTTGACGTAGCGAGCTGCCCTAAAAGTGAGATGTTGTCCAAGCCGGTCGTTGACCTTCCTGCCATTCTGGACCGTAGTGCTATGAAATATGGACCTACGGTCGAGTTAGTCGGATCGATCGGTTCCAATCGCCTTAGGCCCTATGTACCTAATCTGAATGGAGTTATAAGACTCCTGTTCGCAAATTCTAGCGGCGATGTACTCCAATCCGTCTTGAAGATAATCTAGTGTCGATGTGGCGTTTCTTACAACGCTTTCGAGATACTCGACCCAAATAGTCTCTCCATTGTCGAGTAGAATGCTCCCCTTAAACACACCATGGCCAAGGGTATACCGTTGACGACGACTGGAGCTCATGATGAACCAAGGCGATGGGAAAAGGGCTAAAGGGAAGGAGAAGCGAGGTACTCAAGGGTAGCGATTGAATTGAAGAAGAAAAGATGAAGAAACATAGCACGTCAGGGAGTCCTCATTAAATATGTGTACGATCGCTCCATTGGACGTCAGCCGCTTGTAAGGTGAGCCTTTGATGGAGGTTTAATTGCGCAACGGCGGCAAATTCTAGTCTCATTTGGCACCGTCTGCGTGAACAAGGGTCGGGTCCTGGCGCGTCGTGAAACGCGCTGAGACTCGAGTTGCAATGAGTACCGCCAACAGAGGAGACCATGGTTTACTTCGAGTGCTAGATACCTAACTTCTTAGATGGATTCTCGTTCAAAAGTGCCGTTGCCCGCCGGAACAAGAAGCCGACTAAACGCGGGCCCAGCCAGTGTTTGTTCTCTGCGGGAATTGCTCCAAGGTGATTGTGGGCCTGGGCGGCTGGAAATGCCACAACGGCAAGCCCTTCTTAGGTAGCAGGCCAGTGTGCTGGCCGCGTGGCTCTGATGCATTATTGGTAACGGCGCCTAGAGGTGCGGCGCTTAACGGATGGTCCTCCTGAACTTCCACTTTTAGTGGAGTCGCGGCGAAGCTTTCCACCGCCCAAAAGCGATTTCCAGTGTCCAATGACCCAGACAGCGAACCACCAGACAGCGAGCCAGCTTATCTCCTCGGAAGCAACACGTTGGTATCAGCTGGGAGAAGCACCGCGCTGTCTGCCGTTGTCTCGTGCACCCTGTGGCCCTTTCCCTCCCATTTCACTTATAAAGATGGCCGCGCTAAGGAGGCACGCATGCCCACCACCTCAGGTAACCGCGCGCTTATTGTACTCCCAGACTGGTGGGGCAATCTGAATCTTCGATTTTCCAGCCCGAGGTGGCTGACTTGCCGCCTACTAAAGACGCGGTGTAACCCTTCAAATCGCCCTGATGACATGACCACGACTGGCTACTTGCCATGTCGGATTTAGCAAGACCGAAGAGCATTAAATGACCACCCTTATAGGGGGTGGTCTTAATACTTTCCCCATACTATTTAACTTTATTTATAAATACTAGACGTATAAATTAGAGCCTTATTCTCGCGAAGAGAGATACGAGAAGTATATATAAAATGCACGAGGGTAAAAAGGGAAGTAAGGGGTCGGATAGGTCGGATAAAGTTATTTAATTCTTATAAGGGCAATAAGTACGGTAGGGAATAATGATTATATTACTATTAAGGAGAGTAGGTATAAGAGGCTATAGTTATGCTTAGTAGACCTAATAGTTATTCTTAAGTAGCGGCTTAAGAGCATAGTAGAAGAAATAAGGGCATAGAAAGGTAAATTTAGTAATATATATCTTAGTTTATCTATTAGGATAAGGGAGGGGCTTATATAGGTATAGTAACTATATATAGCTAGCTAAAAGAGGGTATTAAGATATTCCTATACCTAAGTTAAGCCTATATAATATCCTTAAGCTAAGGGAGTTATATTAGTTAAGTAGGCTTCTTTATATATAACTATTAGGTCTATTAAGTATAACTATAGCCTCTTATACCTACTCTCCTTAATAGTTATATATAAGGAAGCTTGCTTAACTAATATACCTCCCCTAGCCTAAGGATAATATATAAGCCTAACTTAGGTATAGGAATATCTTAATGCCCTCTTTTAGCTAGCTATATATAGTTACTATACCTATATAAGCCCCTCCCTTATCCTAATAGATAAACTAAGATATATATTACTAAATTTACCTTTCTATGCCCTTATTTCTTTTACTATACTCTTAAGCTACTACTTAAGAGTTATAAGCCCGGCCTATATAGCTAGATTATCTTTTACCTACTAATATTACTTTTAAAGCTATTTATAAGCTATTAATACTATTATAACGCTTAAATCGTAGTATTAAGGTAAGGAACCTAGCTATACTAAGGGGCACTACTAGAAATATAGGAATTATACGAATTATATATCCCTTAAAGAAGGATATTACTTATTAAGCTAGAACCCTTAATTTTCCTAAGATAACGTTAAAGGAAGTACGAGGGGATAATTCTATCGTAAGACTAAAGGAAAGCCTCGATTAAACCTTATAGATTAAGTAGATTAAATCGTAGGCTTAGATTTATAAGATTTAGGAATATACTAACTTAGATAGTATAAAGGAGCTTAAATAGCCCTAATAGCCGTACTAGGAGCAATTTATTATTAACCTAAAAAGGAGACCTTCTTAATAAGAAGATAAAACTAAAGCTATATTCCTTATAAGGCGAATAGGCTATAATAAATAATACTACGATATAAAGGACTTCTTTTATAACCTTAAGAAAAGGTTCTAGCTATATTTCGATCGCTATAACGTTTAGTAGAAAGCCTTAATTATACTTAAAGAATTAATTAAGAAAACGATTAATAAAGGGCTTTAGGGGATAACCCTAATATATAATAGCCTAAGAGAGAAAATAAGGGAATTAAAAAAGTAAGCCTTACCCTTAAGGGTAAAGGAGAAAAAGCTAATTTATAAGAGATATATAACGTCTATTAATAAAAGAGGCATATAAGACTAAAAAACATAGGTAGAATTCTCGCGAAGAGAGATACGAGAAGTATATAAAAATATATAAAGGTAAAATTAAAAGTAAGGGGTCGGATAGGTAGGGCAGAGAGGTATAATTCTTACGGGGGCAGTAATTATAGTAGGGGAATAATTATTATACTGCCTTAATTCTCCTTCTTTCCTCTATCTAACGTCCCTCTTTATACCTATCTAGTATCTTAATTAATAAAGAAGATCCTACTTAAAGAAGCTATTAATATCCTCTTAACTACCGAGCTTTTTGCTGGTTTTTTCCCTCCTTTCTAGCCGTTACCGGTATATCCGTTTTATCTCTCGCTACCTCTATAGGAAGCTATCGCTACTTCTGCTTCCCTTCTTACCCCTACCCTCCTCTCTATACCTCGTTTTAGCTCCTTCCTTAAAACCTGTTTTTTAGCTTCCTAGGTCCCTTATACTAAGGAATATCTCTAAGAACTACGAAATTAAGCCACGCTTCGCGACACACCCCCTTAGCTATAGCCTGCCCTTATAGAAAGGGTAAAGCTAAATACCTAGGCCGTGAGCGTATAAAGGAGGTCTTAGTCTATACTTATCCCTTACTCGAGAAATCTAGGTTTTAGCCCTAGGCTCTTTTAGACCTACTTTAGGAAAAAGGGGCCTTAAGGAGGATATTAAGTCCTATAAGAAAGGGGGGCTTCTCTAAGGATAAGTCCCTAAAAAGGGGGCCTTTAAGAAGAATAAGCCCTAATTAAGCTAGGGGCCCTCTTCTAGGATAAGTCCTAATTCCTCTCTTCGGCTATAGACGTCTCCTTCCTCTTACGTGCTATTAGCTCCTCTC